CTTCTTTTGGAAGACCAAACAAAGTAGTTTCGCTTTCACAACGAAACAGCGTCACACACCGCGGCCTTGAGTGAACGGAGGCCGGCTTGAGTGAGCAGAGGCGGGCGGCTTGAGAACGGCGAAGATTCGACGAAGGAGCGTCCGGCGGACTTGCGGCAACCATGTGTGATGACCCCGGGCTGGACTCCGCTTCGTCCACGGTGAAAGCCGATCCGGCGATCCACAGCGAAGTTGATGTATTTCCTCAGCAACCAGCACGGATCAGCTCTAGGCATGACGAAGCGGATATCGTCCTCTTTTGGAAGACCAAACAAAGTAGTTTCGCTTTCACAACGAAACACAGTGTCTCCACAACATGGCCGCGGCGGCAACAGCGAGAATAAAAGTTACGCCTTCTTTCTTTGTGTGAACATTTGGGCGGCGTTATGCAAATCTTCCCACATCGTGACGCAGACATGTGGAGGCGTGTTAGAACGAGCCGTTTTAGGTAGGTGTGGCTGACTCTTAACTTTTATAAAGAATATCTCTTTGGATTTGAGACTTTAGTCTTTGCAACTTTACAGATCTTCTTTATGCACCAAGAGCTTGTAACACTCCAAAGAGAAAGGAAAAATTGAAATCGCATCATGTGACCCCTTTAAGACTTCTTAAGATATTTTTTAAGATCTTTGTGAACAAATGCAAGACAATTCAAATGCTCGAACCATCATTCTCACAGGTTTGACTCAATTATTTCATTTCATTTAGATAACAGACAAACACAAAAAGATTTCCTTTCCAGCATCCCAAACGCATAAAGAGGTCAAATCCATTTCACACACAGTGCAAAATCTCCCAGCCTATAAAAATATTCCTGCATTGTCAACAGGTCATGAGAAAACAACTTTAAATAACTAGCACTGCTGCAGCATCCATTAAGCAGCGAGTCATGCTTTTTCTTTCATTCCCAAACTGAAGGGACCCAAACAGGAAATACATTCCACATGAACTCAGAGAAGCCATTGCCAGCAAGTCTCATTCTAGAGTCGGGCTACAATAGCTCAGAGGGGCCAGCCGTCTGCTCGCAGCACTTTTCAAAAGAGGGTTTAACGAAAATCCTGGTTGCAAAACACAATGAGGTTCACACAGAATAGAGCGTAATTGACCTACTCACAGACATCTAACAAACTAATCACAGGCTTCTGCGGAATACAGGGTGAAGAATGTGGAAACTAACAATTAGGATCGCAATCACACAGTGTTAAAATGCTGTTTTTTAAGCTTGCACACTATAGGAATATTATACGTCAATGGTGGGTAACATGCTTGTTCTGATAGGTCACGGAGAGCAGGAAAGAACAGTACTAAACGGAAATAACAATGCGGCTTGTGCAAAATACAAGTTTATCAGCTTTTAAAAAGGAGGAGAAATGCTTTACATATCTTTAGTTGTTGACGTCAAATGTACATCAAATAAAAAACTCATCTGTCACTTGGTAGAAGCTAGTCAAATCAGAAGTCAACACTGACTGGTTGCATGACATGCCCTCATCTTTAAAGGAACAGTTCACGCAAAAATGAAAATTTGCTGAAAATGTACTCACCTTCAGGATGAGTTACGATGACATTTAGCATTCTGTCGCTTGTTCACCAATGGATGCTCTGCAGTGAATGGGTGCCGTCAGAATGAGAGTCCAAACAGCTGATAAAAACATCACAATAATCCACAAGTAATCCACACCACTCCAGTCCATCAGTTAACATCTGGAGAAGACAAAAGCTGAAACAAATCCATCATTAAGATGCTTTAACTTCAAACTGTTGTTTCCGGCTAAAATACAGATTCTCTGTCCATAATATTGCTTTCTCAAGTGAAAAAGCGGTCTGGTCTGAATCAGGAGAAAAATCTGAACAGATCAAGCACTGTTTACAAGCCAAAACAGCTCTAAACAAATATGTCAATGGGTGTTGAGCTTGTATTCTGGCCGGAAGCAACGGTTTAAAGTTAAAACGTCTTAATGATGGATTTGTTTCTTACAAACATGCAGCTTTTGTCTTCACAAGACATTAAATTGATGGACTGGAGTGGTGTGGATTATTGTGATGTTTTTATCAGCTGTTTGGACTCTCATTCTGACGGCACCCATTCACTGCAGAGCATCCATTGCTGAGCAAGCGACAGAATGCTGAATTTCTCCAAATCTGATGAAGAAACAAACTCATCTACATCTTGGGTGTGTATGACACCCTTTAAAAACCATAAACAACACACAGTAAAAGAAACCAGACATTCACTTGCATTACTTTGCACAGACCAAGTCAAGTTAAATTTATATGTATAAAGCTTTTAACAATACACATTTTTTTTAAAGCAGCTTTACAGAAAATCATTATGTTAATGTTTATAATATCTTAATATCTTTATGCCTTATAGTCATATTTAACATATTAGCAGTTGAGATTTGCTGTATTTACATATCTACCTACACGAGTATACCGTATGCATGCAGATAAAGTTGGACATACTTATATATATATCCAACTAAAAAGCTGGACGATGATATAGTTACATTTTGTGACAAATTTTTAAAAAAATCAAGCAGTTAAAATCTGCTATTGCAATATACATTATGTGATGCATTACTTTATTAATAAATAAAGAAAAGTTGTTAAATTTCAATTAACCAAATCTGGGCCCTGAAACAAAACCAACTGCTAAAGAACTCCAAAAACAACCAGATCAAATCCAATGAAAACTGTTCCAGTAAACCTTTGCATTTACGGGGCGACAAATACATTTAACTTCACAGACTGCACAGTGTAATTTAAGCTACATACTGGGTTACACTGGTGTGCAGAGGAGTATAAATATCCTGAGAGCTACAGCCACTAGAACCACTACAGGAATCTGGATCCTCCGGACACAAAATTCATCTAAATAACCCAGTCTGTGATCTCCTGAACACTCGTTCCAGCGAAAACAGACCCAAGCCCCACCAAAACTAACAGTTAGGACCGGTTACCCGGTGATAAACTACCACTAGAGCCCGATTACGATGACTGATTACATTTTGCATTGCTCTGACATGCAAGACGGTCCATTTCAGCTCACATCTAGAAGTGTCCCACACTTCGACACCCAGAAAAACTCAGAACCATCCCAAATGACACCCGACAGGGGTTTGGGTGTGTATGACACCCGTCGGCTGTCATTAGGGTGTTAAAGGGCTGCAGTGAAGCCAGTCACTGCTTTTTCAGGGCGTTGACGGGTCCCCAGCCTCAGTGTAATTTAGGGCCAGTTAATTACGCCGTTAATTAAAGTAATTAAGATCAGACAGTAGCAGATTTGATGAGGTTTAACGGCTCAAAGCTGATTCAGATGAACCAAAACCCCTTCACAAACCTAATGCCGCCGAAACACCACTTTAGTGTCAGGCTGCCATCATTTCACTGCTTTAACAGCACCGAAATCACGTTTCAAACGATTACACAAAAACCAGCAGTGTTTATGGAGCTAATCTCAGTTAGCCGTTAGCACCTCACGTTGACACGGATTGAAAAAACACCTCAAACACGTCAAAACACACCCGCTGGCGGCCGCTCCGGGGCGGCGGGCAGTAACGGACTCGAGTCCTACCTGTAGTGGCTCCGGGAAAGGCGTTTATTGGTGTGAAAAACAGCCCGATCGGCGGTCGGATCACGGCATCGCTTACCAGCTGTTTGTCCCCACCCTCCTGTCTGTGGAAAGAGGAAGTGACGCAGCGCGTCTTCCGAGCGCGCGTCCACAAAAGCACAGGCGCGAGCGTGCACGCCAGGCGACGCGCGCGCCCGACCACACCATAGAAAGCGTGCACTTTAAAAAAAAAAATGAAATTGGAATTAAAGTAGATTTATACTAAATAAATGGCGCATTGTTGCTTGTGTTTTCGTTACCCAAAGCATAACCATAGTTAGGTTTTGTTCATATATGTATAATAGCTAACAATAATAATAATAATAATACATTATTATTAATTATGTATATACGACGTTTTTGAAAGTTATCTACCATTTATTTTTATTTTATTTATTTGATTATAGCGGTGATTATTTATCGAGTTTGTAGCTTTATTCTTAATTTATGTATGTATTTAATTATTTATTATTATTTTAGAAAAGTACTTATTTTATTTTATTACCACAGCCACAGATTACTGAAGATTTTTTTTTATTTATTTATTGCAACTTGTACAACACAAGACAACGTAAGACACAGCCACCAGAATGAACCAAAAATTGTCCATATGTAAAAAAGCAGATAAAAGACGTCAAAGAAGAATACATTAAAATAATAAATGTTTTGACAGAGTTTGAGACTGTGATGTGATGGACTCCTGTGTCCTCTAGTGTTCAATTTTTCAACAAACACAATTTTCAGTGTCTTTCACGTGTCGATAGATGGCGCCACATTCATCAGACTTGTTTTACATTATTTATTTATTTATTTATTTATTGGCCTTTTAAAATAAATGCAATATTTTATTTATTATTATTTAGTATATAATAGTCTATATAATATACACAGAAGTATGCGTGTGCGTGTGCGTGTGTGTGTGTGTGCGTGTGCGAGCGTGTGCGTGTGTGCGTGCGTGCGTGAGTGAGTGAGTGCGTGCGGTTATGAAGAGGTTATGAAGATGCTGGTGTCTAGAGCAGGATGCAAAATCTCACTCTTTCTTCTGTCCACAGAAAGTCTGCAGTTGCGAGTGGAAGGGATACACTGAAATCCATCACTGATGTGGTTAATGTTGGCATCGGTGGATCTGATCTGGTTTGTAAAATCAAAACTCACTATTTTGCATAATTTTTCTTCTTTTTCCACTGATTTGATGCTCTAGATCAGGGGTTTTCAATCTTTTAGATGCCACAGACCCACCAACAAAAAAAAATTGAAACAATTTTCACTCAGAAATTGCTAGTAAATTTCACAAATAATTACAGCAAGTAAAACACTCAATTAAACCTGAAATTTTGAAGTAGATAGACTGAAATAGCATCTTCCTAAAAAAGCAGCAATCTTTGATTTATTTAGAACTTCAAAAACATAAAAAAATAAATAAAATTCAGTGTATGATAATCCTTGTGTAAGGGAAAATGAATACTATAAATATGCTACAAATATGATTTGGAAAATATTTAATTTCTATTCTCTGTATTATTTATTTATATATGTACTCATTTGTTTACATATTCATTTGAATCAAATTTGTATTATTTTATTTGTTTGTTTGTTTTAAATTAAAATGTTATTTATTGTAATCAAATTATTTATTAAAATCTTTTATTCAATAATTTTAAGCTTTTTAGTATTATTTATAAATGTACTAATTTATTTACTTTTTTACATTTTAATCACATTTTTATTTATTTGTTTTCAATAAATGTTTTACTTATTTTAATCAAATTATTAATTTCAGTATTTATTTATTTTTAATCATATTTTTGTATTATGTAGTTATTTTATATAAATAAATGGGTAATTGTGCTAGTTGGGTTTTGTAAAGTCTGTTTTGTGTGTGTTTCAGGGTCCGTTAATGGTGACAGAGGCCCTGAAGCTCTATTCTAAAGGTGGACCCCGCGTCTGGTTTGTGTCTAACATCGACGGAACGCACATCGCTAAGACTCTGGCTGAACTCAACACTGAGACCACACTCTTCATCATCGCATCGAAGGTCTTAGCTGGACGCAGCATTCAGAGACTGAGCAGATTATACAGCATTAGCAGAGAGAGATGAAGCAACCCAAAATATCAAATTTAGATTTTGCTGGGACTCTTTATAGGTTCTTTTGCTAATAAAATCACATTAATTATATATCATAAAATAATGTGCCACTAGTATGAAATTTCCGTTTGTCTTCCTCAGACATTTACAACCCAGGAAACCATCATAAACGCTGAGTCAGCAAATGAGTGGTTCCTGCAGGCCGCCAAAGACGTGAGTCTCTTATTCTTGTGTCGTTTTTATCGTTCTCACAGAAATCTGCAGTTGCCAAGCATTTCGTGGCACTCTCAACCAACGGAGTAAGTGCATTCCAGTTTAGATGTAAAGGCTCATATCATCAGGAATTAAAATTTCCATAAATCTTTGAAATAATACAGCTCATTGTGCTATTAAAGCTTTTGTAACTTTCAAAACTCAAAACAGTCCAAAAAGAGCATTTACTAAAACTAAACGGGCAAAATCTTTTTCATGTAAACTCATTTTGCATGTACAAGGCCAAGTGAGTTTATTTATATAGCATACTGCATTTCAAACACAGTAGTAATTTAAAGTGCTTTACATCAAATCATTTAGCAATATAAAATGTTCTCAAAACATTAGCATCAAAACATTATTTACACATTATTCATGGATTTTTTTTTTTAACGTTTTAGTTGGATGTTTGTGTAACGTTTTTAAATGTTCAAAACATTCTGAGAACATTCAAATGTAACATTCCCACAGTGTTACATTTGGAAATGGAATGTTTCCAATTGAATGTTTTCCTTGTTTCCTTGCATAACCAAAAAAAAAAAAACTTTATTCCACTTTCTGTGTTTCAGCCCAAAGTGAAGGACTTCGGCATCGACCCGGAGAACATGTTTGGTCCGCTGAGGGCCGTGACCTGTATTTGCCGTAGTCTTTGACCTGTGAAGTAGGCGTCTGGATGCTCTCACTAACAGCTGCTGGTAGAGTCTGTCACTGCCGAACGCTGCTGGGTTATTCGTGATCTTGACCTTATCCGAGCAGAGGTCACGCAAAGGCTGGCTCACGGTAAAGGCCGACAGGCTACTTTTAGTCACATTGTTGATATTTAAAGGGCAAGGTTCCTTACTATCCTATTTATTATGGACTCTATATGCTCTTTGGCATATGCATGTTTGCTCATGTAAAGAAAGGTTTGATATGTAGTTGAATTTGTGTTTTATTTACTTTTTTATGCTTACAACAGTGTTATTTTAGTATCAGTGAGATACTATCATAGTTATTATTAATAGTTTGAATTAGTTTTTAATGTTATATTTTTTTTGTTAGTTTTTTTGTTACAGTAATACACACATTTTTGTCATTTTTATAAAGTTTTTTTGTTTTTTTAATATGTCTATATAGTTTAAGTTTACATTTTATTTTATTTATTTTATTTCCTTTAACATTTATTTTATTTCAAGTAACAAAATTTTTGTGTTACAAGTTTTTGTGTGTTTTCGTCATATTTATTCGTTTTTGTTTTTAATATGTCTACATAGTTTTTAAGTTTACGTTTTTATGTATATTTTATTTTATTTCAGTTAACATTTATTTTATTTCAAGTAACAAAAACTACTTGAAAGAGCATGTTTTGTCATTTTTATTAGCTTTTGTTTTTTAATGTCTATAGTTTTTCATTTAAATTTTTTTATATTTAATTTTATTTCTGTTAACATTTATTTTATTTCAAGTGACAAAATGTTTTTTTTATTGTTTTTCTTTTCTCCATTTTTATTAGTTTTTGTTTTGTCTGTATAGTTTTTTTTATGTTTTTGGTTTTAGCCTTAGTTAACTATAGCTAAATTATTAACAAAAAGATAATTCAAATAATAAAAATGCAGTAAAACTAATCTATTGTACCTCATTAGATGAGTTTGAAATGTTTTTTTTTCTAGTGGGTCAGTGGACGATACTCCTTATGGTCTGCAATTGGTCTGTCCATCACTCTTCATATCGGTGAGTGTTATCATGTGACTCTCATGAAGATATGCAGCGTGTGTGAGAGATGCTCAAGAATCTGTCTGATCTCTTCTGTCTCAGGATACGAGAACTTTGAGAAGCTGTTGGCTGGAGCTCATTGGATGGTGGGTTTTATTAGTGAAGGAGCACATTATCAGTATTTGACCTTCATTAGCAATGTCAAATTAAACTGAATTCAAATATTCAAATTCACAGTCAAATATGTTTGTATAATGACAAGCTACCATTCAAAAGTTTGAGATCAGTAAGATTTCAAATGTTTTTGAAGGACGTTTCTTCTGCTCACCAAGGCTGCATTTATTTGATCAAAAATAAATTACATCTTATAATAGCTGTTTTCAATGTAAATATATTGTAAAATGTCATTTATTTCTGTGATGCGCAGCTGAATTTTCAGCATCATGGCTCCAGTCTTCAGTGTCACATGATCTTCAGAAATCATTCTAATATGCTGATTTGCTGCTCAAGAAACGTTTCTGATTATTATCCATGTTGAAAACAGTTGTGCTGCTTCATATTTTTGTGGAAACCGTGATACATTTTATTTTTCAAGATTCTTTAATGAATAGAAAGTTCAACAGAACCGCATTCATTTGAAATAGAAATCTTTTGTAACACTAGAAATGTTTTTACTGTCACTTTTGATCAATTTAATGCATCCTTGCTGAATAGAAGTGTTAATTTGTTTCACAAAGCTTACATAAACCCCTGAATCTACATCTCTGGCAGGACACTCATCTCCGTACGGCTCCTGTGGATCAGAACGCACCCATGCTGCTCACTCTGCTGGGCATCTGGTACATCAGTGTCTTCCAGGCCTACTTCCAACAGGTGCGTCTCACCTGTAGAGCGAACACAAAACACACAACACCAGCCAAAGACTGAATGCATTTTATACTGACAGTAAAGTCATCAAAAACACTAATGAGAATCTACTGCTGTGATTTACAGGGTGACATGGAGTCTAACGGAAAGTACATCACTACTGAGAGTAACCGGGTGAACTATCACACCGGC